AAAAAAAAAAAAAAATTAACAATGAAAAGTTATCCTGTCTGGGCATGGTAAATCACGCCTGTTATCCCAGCACTTTGGGAGGCCAAGGCAGGAGAATTCCTTGAGCCCAGAAGTTCAAGACCAGCCTGGGGAACAACTAACTACAGTAACCAGCGAAGTACAAATGGCTAAGATTTTACTTTGCCATGGCTAATCACAAGATTTCGTGAATTCAGAAGTAACACTATTTAGCCAAATAATTAGCTAATGTTTTCCCACAATACAGTTGCTGTTGCAGGATATCAAGTTTTACCAAAACTAAGATTTGAATGTAGCTGTTTATTACAAAAAATTTACCGAAGTGGAAGATGTGGATTATCCTTTTCTAATCATGAAATACCAGAAGATTAAATATTTTAATAATAATAATTTCTATTTGCACAGCACTTTTCTGATATTGAAGAGCTCAGAGATACGTCATTTGAGGTAAATAGTGCTAAGCTTGAGAAATGCCTTTTGTTCTAGACTAATTCCAACGGGTTATCATTATAGAATACCCATACCCCCAAGAGAATCTAAAACAAAAAAAAGAAAGAGAAATGGAGGTCCCAGCCAGGCGTGGGGGCTCACGCCTATAATCCCAGACTTTGGAAGGCCAAGGCAGGAAGATCACTTGAGAAGAGTTCAAGACCAGCCTGGCCAACATAGGGAAACCTTGTCTCTACTTAAAAAACAAAAAGCTAGTCGTGGTGGCTCACACCTGTAATCCCAGCACTTTGGGAGGCTGAGGCAGGTGGACACCTGATGTCAGGAGTTGAAGATGAGCCTGACTAACATGATGAAACCTCATCTCTACCAAAAATATGAAAATCAGCTGGGCGTGGTGGCGGGCACCTGTAATCCCCGCTACTCCGGAGGGTGAGGCAGGAGAATCCCTTGAACCCGGGAGGTTGCAGTGAGCCAAGATCGCACCACTGTACTCCAGCCTGGGCAACAGGGCAAGACTCTGTCTCAAAACAAAACAAAAATTAGTCAGGCATGATGGCACACACCTGTAATCCCAACTGCTCCAGAGCCTGAGGCATGAGAATCCCCTGAACCTAGGAGGCAGAGGTTTCAGTGAGCCAAGATCATGCCACTGTACTCCAACCTGGGCAACAGAGCGAGTCTCAAAAAAAAAAAAAAAAAAAGTGAGGTCCTTAACTTATTTTCAATATTCAGTAATAACTAAATTATAATATACATAAATTTGTTTTGAAGGTAAATTATAGCACTCTGGTAAATTAGATTGATCAGAAAGTCTGATTGTATTGTCTAATAAAATACGAAAAAAATCAAGACATTCTCAAAATACAACTGGAAAATACCTACCTAGCTGCACACCCAACACTGCTTTTACTGTTTTTCTATATATTATGATTAAATCTGTAATCCAGTACGTGCACTGATTTTTCAAATACAAATCCCACCATAATTTAAAGGGATGGCCATGAACACTGAAAAAGATGATCAGAACTATAAACGGATACGAGGGCATGAAAACTTGATTAAAGGTAAATGATGGCTCATGTGTATCTACTTGCATATTAACTGCTATTCTGGTGCCTGAGCAAGTGAACACATTACTTTTAGGTTTTCAGGAAGAATGCAGCATGTATTTCTCACAATTAATCTTAAGAGCTGCTGGAAAAGTATTTTTCTTAGACCTAACCAAAGACAAAATGCCACAAAGTTGAGAAAGTGCATTTTATCTCATTCTTTGTTATTTAAATAGAAATAATTTTGGGAAAAAGAGTCACTGTGATATACCTAATGATAAACAGAGTAAAGACTTCTAAAGTCTCCTAACGATTCCTGGAACTATTACTATTAACACAGTAAATTACATGCCAAGATATGTTGAAGAAGATCTGAAGAAATGTCTAAAATTAAAAGAAATGTAACTGAAGTACATAAGAAAAAATACCAATTTATATACATATGTATATACACACACATACACACACACACACACACACACACCTACCTACCTACCTACCTACCTACCTACCTACCTACCTACCTACCCCTGTGATGACAATTCAGAACATTATCTTACAGTTGAGTACCCACAGATTGGGGTGGGAGAAACTACGCCTAAGAAGCTAAAAAATCAATTTTGGTAAAGAAACAACGCTGTTCTTAAAAGACCTTAATAACAATGGCCATGGTCACGTACAAATACTAAGTTACTAAATCTCGCTAACACTGAACTTTGGGAAAAAGCACGTTTATGGATAAAAAGGCAGTCGGCTGAGCACGGTGGCTGACGCCTCTAATCCCAGCGCTTTGGGAGGCCGAGGCGGGCAGATCACAAGGTCAGGGGTTTGAGACCACCCCGGCCAACACTGTGAAACCCAGTCTCTCGCCAAAAAAAAAAACAAAAACACACACACACACACACACACACACACACAAAATTAGCTGGGCGTGGTGACGGGCGCCTGTAATCCCAGCTACTTGGGAGGCTGAGGCAGGAGAATTCGCTTGAACCCGGCAGGCGGAGATTACAGTGAGCCGAGATGGCGCCGCTGCACTCCAGCCCGGGCGAAAGTGCAAGCAAGACTCCGTTTCAAAAAAAAAAAAAATTTAAAAAAAGGAAAAGGGCAGTCATATTGTTAGAGCCACATCCACATTATTTTAAACAAAAACTTAAAATATGTTCGAGAACTAACAAGCTTCCAGTCTGAATTCACCATTCCTCCCCTTGGTATAAAACTCAAAAATCTGACAGTCTGGAAGTAAAATACAGGGACACTTTACTACCCTGAAAATCATGCTGGGTTTCCGCTAGGCAGGGCAGACGTTTTCGGGAGCATCACCGCGCGGCGTCTCGGATGCGCTTCTCCTGGCGCCCTCTGGGCGGCAGCGCTCTCGTGACACTGCTGCGTCGACGTCACGCCCGTCGTTGTTACGCCCTTCCCCGAGGAAAACGAGAAAGACCCATAGCAGAAAATTATGCCGCACTACCTCCCTGAGGCGGCGACCAGTAACAAACAACCTTTTCTTCAGGCTTCCCACCATCCAACCCAGCCGCAGTCTACGAGCCACCATCACCCACCACCCCGCAGGAACAATTACCCAGCCTCACCCCAAGATCACGCGGAAGGGAGGCGCCAAAAGAAACTCTGTTCTCGCGAAATTTTAAACTTAATTCTCGCGACGTCTCTGTTCCGGTCCTTCTTTCTCAGCCCCAGACTCACACTAGCGCGTTGCCTCGGAAACATCGCGAGAGTTCCTTTCTTCGGTCTCCGCCCCTTTACGGCACGATGGTCGCGCAAGAATGTGATAGAGCTTCAACGGCCGCCATTTTCTTTCTTTCTTAGCTGTTAGCTGAGAGGAAGTCCCTGAACAAGCCGCAGCGGCTCCTATAGTGCAACCATGGCGGACTATTCAACAGTGCCTCCACCTTCTTCTGGCTCAGCTGGTGGCGGTGGTGGCGGCGGTGGTGGTGGGGGAGTTAACGACGCTTTCAAAGATGCACTGCAGAGAGCCCGGCAGGTAAGTGTGGACCGCGCGGCGGGATCCCGAAAGCTCATGGTAATTGGCCGCTGACTGAGTAGGCCGCTAACCCTCAGCGCAAGAGGAAGAGGAAAGAGGTGTCCTTCCGGGCTGAAATGTGAAGAGACACGTTTCCCCATGTTGGTAATATCGTTTAGAGACCAGAACTCAGTTTTGTGTTCTTAGTGTCTAATCCAGTTAGAACCCCGAAGCGTGCTACGCGAAGAAGGCCTTAAGTCTTTCTTGCGCTTCTGCGGCACTCGCCTTTCCGCCGTGAGCTAACTTAGCCTCCCCTTTTCCTCAAGATGAATATCCTCTTCTAGGGGATAAAGCGTTGGTAGTTTCATACAGTTTAGTGAAAGGTTCTGGTAATGAGTTTGAGAAAGAACTAGGGTCTGTTTCCTGGAGCCATCGCCAGGGAAGGGATTTGTCACTAAAGTAGCCTTTGCAGCTCATTTCTGTTCCCTCTCGCAATTAAAGCCGCTTTCGGTACCATTCACCTTCACACCTTACAAGGAAGGGACTTGAAAGCAGTCTTCCTCAGGGCGGGATTTACGTGTCAGTCTATTCTACCAGTCCGCCCCCCTTATTTCTCAAAATGGCCTCAGGCCCATTATACTGGAGGTTTCAATTTGAATCTGCCTCTCTGTTCAGAGTCGTAAACTGACCAGACCTCTTTGTATTACGTAGTGCGTGCATTTGCCCTGAAGGCACCACTTTTCCCAGACGAAAACTGTTAAAATAGTACGTGTATTCTAGGAAAATGAAAGGTTTCTTAACTTGAGCTTTACATTTTTAGATAGTCCCCTAATATATCTAAAATTTCAAAATGTGTGGTGTTGATATGGATTTGCATGTAAACGAAAGAGTCCTATTCTCTGTGACACTATGCGTATTGTACTAGATGCTGGACATTTTTAATTAGTGCTAAGCTAATGGTAATTAGAAATCAGTTTTGTGGTGTGTTTTGATTGCATTAGGAGTTCACTTAGTTCTAACTTTTTAGCCTCCGGTACAATTAAAGGAACGTTGAGTGAAAATCAGAATTCATAAAATCCGTTGTAATGTAACACATCTAATGTTGTAAACACATTATAAATATATACTTGTATTGTTTATATCAGAAATATTAAGGATAATCAACAAAAGGTCAACATTAATATTCTGCGGTTTTTTTTTCCACGTAATTTAAGAAATTCTGAACGTGTTTAGACTAGCGAAAGGATTTATGTAACTGACAAACTGTCAGCGGGTTTTATTAGATTGGTTTGGAAGACTTAGGGGAACTATTTTATTTACTGGAACCAGCTATTTTACTAGAACCAGCACATTGGATTAATTTTTGTCGCACACTGTACATAGATAGTGAAGTTGTGTGTGTGTGTGTGTTGTTTTGTTGCTGCTGTTTGTGTTTTTTTGAGATGGAGTCTGGCTTTGTCGCCCAGGCTGCAGCGCAGTGGCATCATCTCAACTCATTGCAACCTCCACCTCCCAGGTTCAAGCGATTCTCCTGCCTCAGCTTACCCAGTGGCTGGGATTACAGACGCGCGCCACCATCCCTGGCTAATTTTTTTTTTTTTTTTTTTTTAAAGTAAGGATGGGGTTTCACAATACTGGCCAGGCTGGTCTCGAACTCCTGATCTCCACCCACCTCGGCCTCCCAAAGTGCTGGGATTACAGGCATGAGCCACTGCACCCAGCATTGTTTTTTTGGTTTAATGGGTGAATTGGTTCCAGATAAGAAGTTGTGATACAGTTCCTTGACCAAATGCAGATGAACAGGATTATTTGGTAAATACTTTGATTAACGATAGCAGACAAAATATGGACATTTAATTAATCTGCTTGTTTTATAAGTGTTGATAAAGTTTATACTATGAGGCAGGCACCTTGTATGGGACACAAGTTGGAAAGGGATGCCCAACTTCCTAAGTAAAGGAGTGATATTTGGTCAAGGCGTTATAGAATGAATGAAAGTTTGGCCAGTAGAGAAAAGAAGCAGCATGCACGGAAGTATGAGGGTTCGAGGGAAAGACAAGGACACAGGAGTGAAGTCACTGGAAGATAGTGCGGGATGGGAGGACATGAAACAAGGCCAGGAGAGGTACTGGTGGATCCAGATACGGAACACCTTGTGTTGCAGTGCTTTAATTAAAAATGGAATTTCATGCCGGGTATAGTAGCTCATGCCTGTAATCTCAACACTTTGGGAGGCTGACATGGGCAGATCACTTGAAGTCAGCAGTTTAAGACCAGCCTGGCCAACATGGTGAAACTCCATCTCTACAAAAAATACGAAAAGTATCCTTGCTTGGTGGCCTGCGCCGGCAGTCCCAGCTACCTCAGAGGCTGAGGCACAAGATTCGCTTCAAGCTGGGAGGTAAGAGGTTGAAGTGGGTGGAGATCACGCTCCTGCACTCCAGCCAGATCAATAGAGCAAGGCCCTGTCTCACAAAAGAAAAATTGGATTTTATTATTAGGCTAAGCCATAATTTCTTGTTTTAGATTTTTTTAAGTATAGAAATTGTCATCAAACTGAAATTTCTTGTGTTACATGCCAAGACATCAGTTGTCCTGATGTCTTTGCTGTAATGATTTGTTTCTTTATAGAAATGTTCTTAAATAGGCCGGGCGCGGTGGGTCAAGCCTGTAATCCCAGCACTTTGGGAGGCCGAGGCGGGTGGATCACGAGGTCAAGAGATCGAGACCATCCTGGTCAACACAGTGAAACCCCGTCTCTACTAAAAAACTACAAAAAATTAGCTGGGCATGGTGGCGCGTGCCTGTAATCCCAGCTACCCTGGAGGCTGAGGCAGGAGAATTGCCTGAACCCAGGAGGCAGAGGTGGCGGTGAGCCGAGAACGCACCATTGCACTCCAGCCTGGGTAACAAGAGCGAAACTCCGTCTCAAAAAAAAGAAATGTTCTTAAATCTGAGATTCCTAACTTTAGCTTTTGACTAGAATTACCCATTACATTTGATGATGTCTCTAAATGTCAGTTGTAGCTGTTAGTCTGATGATATAATTTATGGAATATACAGAAGTGTGCTTAGACAAAAGAAACAAGTTAGGTTAATATCTGAACTACTTTTTCTTGTGTGTTTAAGAATATTGACTTAAGTTTCCAAGATTATCAACTAACGTTAAGTTTATTTTTTTTGTCTAGAGTACTTTGCTGTTTTTTTGTTTTGTGGCTTTTTTTTTTTTTTTTTTGGAAGGAAGCGATACAAGAACAGTTGCCTGCTCTCAAGGAGCCTCAAGGCTGTACCAGTTGGGAATGCCATTGGTATTTTGCTGGACAGTTCTTGGTTATTCATAAAAGCAGGACAAGTGATTATGATTCCTGGTCCATATCTGGTAATGACAGTAGTGTTAACTCTAGCTGGTTGTTGACATATGGTCATTTAGTTACCCAATCTTTTTTTTTTTTTTTTTCCCTAGCTTATTTTCATGTGAAATTTTCAGATTTTTATGATATTCTGAGCTAAATTCAACACAGGGGCACCAGATTGCTGCTTTAGTTCAGTTTCCAGCCTGTGCACTTCAGAATTTTTTTTTTTTTTATATTTCAAGCTGTAACTCCAGGGATTGGGATTGTTTGATTAGGTCTTTGGCAGTGGTATTAGTAGCAACTTCTGTCTCTAGAACATTGGAAAATTAAAATGTATTAACTCAGTTTTTTTCCTTGAGGTTGTACGAAGGCAGAAATGAATCAGAGACTAGATAAGTAGCTAAGCAAGACTGCTAACCCTCATCCCTTCCCCTCTAGACAACTGTAAAATTAGTCATTATGTGTTTGATGATTCTTGCAGTCTCCTCTGACAATTATAAAAGTTATGCCGGCTGCACAATGTTGTTTGAATGAAATGAAAATATAGAATAGAGCTTTTTTTAAAATTACCATTAGTTTCTTCAGTGAAAACTAGCATTTGAGCATGATTCTTTTTTTATATTATTTTGTGACAGGATAGCAAGGCTTGGTTGTGATAAGCAAATCATGGAATGGTAGTATTTCTAGTGTCCAGGTTTCTTCGCATGTCTGGTGTATGGGAACTAACTCCATCAGGACCTTGCTTGTAGTAGGTACTCAACATTTACTGAATTAAATCAATACACATTTTTGATGAATAAAAATACAAGTCAGCCCTCTGTATCTGTGGGCTCTGCATGTGCAAATTCAGCCAGCCATGGATCAAAAATATTAGAAAAATGGAATAACAGTCCAACAATACAAGTAATATAAATATAAACAGTACAACAACTGTGTACAATGTATCAGGTATTGTAAGTAATCTAGAGATGACTTAAAGTATACCAAAGGATTTGTGTAGGTTATGCAGATACTGCACCATTTTATATAAGGAACTTGGGCATCTGTGGATTTTGGTATTTGCACGTTTTCCAGAACCAAATCTTAAGGGTCTATAGTTGGTCATACCACCTGATTTTACAGATTTTCTGAATCTCAGAAGATAATTAAGTAAACTATAATAGTCCGTTCTTAACCTCGGAGGATACATTCCAAGACCCTCAGTGAATATCTGAAACCATAGATAGTAAAGAATCCTATATATACACATGATAATGTTTTTTTCCTATATATACATATATATAAAGCTTGAAGTCTAAATTAGACACAGTATTAATGATAATAATAAAATGGAACAAGGCTGGTCATAGTGGTTCACGCTGGTAATCTTAACACTTAACTTTAACTAAGATAGCTGAGTTAGGAGGATCGCTTGAGCCCGGGAGTCTGAGACCACCCTAGGCAACATAGTGAAACCCTGTTTCTATAAAAAATACAAAAAAATTAGCCAGATATGGTGGTGCGTGCCTGTAGTATCAGCTCCCCAGGAGGCTGAAGTGGGAGGATTGCTTCAACTTGGGAGGTCAAGTCTACAGTGTTGACAATGTTGGGTCCTATAGGTAGTTGCATAAGTGAGCCATGATCGTGCCACTGTACTACAGCCTTGGGTAACAGTCTGGCCCGGTCTCAAAATTTTAATTTAAAAAAATCGAACAATTACAACAATACACTGTATTATTAACAAGAAGGGCAAATTTTTAAAAATTAGACCAATATGCTGTAATAAGTTATGTGAATGAGGGGTCTCTTCCCTAACCCCAGAATATCTGATTGTACTATACGGTAGATAACTGAAACAGTGGAGAACAAAAACAAGATAAAAAGAGATTACTGTGTCTCTCAAATTTCTTTTCAACTCCCAAATTCTTGCATTTCTCACTTCTTGACTTAATAGAGGTGAGGAATGCTAAAATAATGAAAGCAGGAAAAATAACTTACTCATTCAAGAAACAGAGAATGGTCCATATGGAAAGCTTGAATTGTTTTTGTAAACTAAAATTAAATAAAGTAGTGGGGCACGGCGGCTCACGCCTGTAATCCCAGCACTTTGAGAGGCCAAGATGGGCGGATCACTTGAGGTCAGGAGTTCAAGCCCAACCTAGCCAATATGGTATAACCCTGTCTCTACTAAAAATACAAAAATTGGCCAGGCGTGGTGGTGTGTGCCTGTAATTCCAGCTACTTGGGAGGCTGAGGCAGGAGTATTGCTTGAACTCAGCGGGTTAGATGTTGTGGTGAGCCTAGATCGTGCCACTGCACTCCAGCCTGAGCAACATAGACTCTGTCTTAAAAAAAATAATAATAATAATAATTAAAAGTTTCCCACACTTGATAATTGTCTAATAAAAATTGAATATGTTGAATTCTGGTACTCTGAAAAAGGAGTTGAATATAGTTGGAGGTTGGTTTTTAGGAATTATTTTTCTTAAATTCTCCTTGTAGTCACCTAGTAATTGTATATTTTATTGATCTTAGAAAATTGATCAAATCTGCAGTTCGTTTTGTTTTTTCAGTTTTGTTTGTTTGTTTGTTTTTAAGAGATGGAGTCTGCTGTATTAGCATTGAACTCCTGGCCTCAACCAATTCTCCCACCTCAGCTTCTGAAGTAGCTGGGACTGCAGGTGCCACTGGGCCTGGCTCCTTTATTGGTATTTTTATTAAAAGTGTTAATGTCTTTGTAACAGTTCTGAATTTTTGAAATGGTATTACTGGTTCTTTAGAGTTAACTAAGTGTCAACTTTTATGTTTTTTTGAGACGGAGTCTCGATCTGTCGCCCAGGCTGGAGTGCAGTGGTTAGATGTCTGCTCACTGCAACCTCCGCCTCCCAGATTAAAGTGAGTCTGCTGCCTCAGCCTCCTGAGTAGATGGAATTATGGGCATGCCTCCCATGCCCAGCTAATTTTTTTGTGTGTGTTTTTAGTACAGACAAGGTTTCACTCCTGACCTCAGGTGACCCACTCACCTCGGCCTCCCAAAGTGCTGGGATTACAGGCATGAGCCACTGTGACCAGCCTCAACTTTCATTTTCATTTGGATCGTTTTTGAACTATTCAGTGGGTAAGGAAGTATAAATAAGTGTCTTCGCTGTATAGAAGTTTCTTGGAGTTAAAGGCTCACTGCAACCTCTACCTCCTGTGTTCGAGCAGTTCTCTCACCTGAATCCCGAGTAGCTGGGATTACCAGCGTGTCCCACCATGTCCCGCTGGTTTTTTTGTATTTTTAGTAGAGACAGGGTTTTGCTATGTTGGTCAGGCTGGTCTCATACTCCTGACCTCAGGTGGTCTACCTGCCTCAGCCTCCCAGAGTACTGAGATTATTGGCGTGAGCCACTGTGCTTGGCCAAGAGTGTATCTTTTTTTAAATCGAGCAATCTAATACTTGATCCTAATATGCTTTGTGGTTGATGTTTGCATTTTTAAATGAGGAAAAGGGAAATCTAGGAGTCCTAGGAAATACAGTTGGTATGTGGGAACTGATACATAATTAGACTTAAGTGATCCATGTTGAATTTATGATTTAAGCACTTAACTATAAAACCTTTTCCAGTTGTTTGATGAGGTTAGTACATGGGAACTGATACATAATTAGACTTAAGTGATCCGTGTTGAATTTATGACTTAAACCCTTAACTATAATTTTATCCTCTCCAGTTATCTGATGATGATAAAAACTTGAAGCAGTTATCCATACCAGGATCTCTTTGGGAAATCCCAGTCACTAAAAGTTAGGTTTTCTTTAATATTTTCCTTGGAAGATTTCAAATATACTCAAAATTGAAAGAAGTATGTAATAACTTCTCATGAGTCCATCACACATCTTCTATAATGAATGTACACCATTTTAGTGTAGAGCTTGGCCTATTGCTGACCACTCAGCAATGTTGCAGAACCTCTCCATGATTCCCCATGGAAATGGGAACCACTCCAGTTCTCCTTTTGTAGAAAAATTCAATAAATATCTATTGGTTGTTCCCTACTTGTGACTTGAAGCCAGGTGTGGTGTGGGTGTGTGTAGGTGTGTTTTTTAGCAGTCTTGCTCAATCACCCAAGCTAGAGTGCAGTGGTGTGACCTCGGCTCACTGAAACCTCCAACTCCTGGGTTCAAGTGATTCTCATGCCTCAGCCTCCCGAGTGGCTGGGACTATGGGCATGTACCACCACACCCGGCTAATTTTTGTATTTAGTAGAGATGCGTTTTCACCATGTTGCCCAGACTGCTCTCGAACTCCTGAGCTCAAGCCATGTACCCACTTCCGCCTCCCAAAGTACTAAGATTACAGGCATGAGCCACCATGGCAGCAAAGCTAGATGTTTCTTAACATTTGTTCGATCAGGTGCAAGAAATTACTTGCCCTACTCTAAAAGTTAAAAATCTTCTAAGAGAGGCCAGACAGGGTGGCCCATGCTGTAATCGCAGCACACTGGGAGGCCGAGGCAGGCAGATCACAAGGTAAGGAGTTCCAAACCAGCCTGGCCAATATAGTGAAACCCTGTCTCTACTAAAAATACAAAAATTAGCCAGGCATGATGGTGGGCACCTGTAGTCCCAGCTACTTGGAAGGCTGAGACAGGAGAATTGCTTGAATCCAGGAGGCGGAGGTTTCAGTGAGTCAAGATCATGCCACTGCACTCCAGTTTGGGCAACAGAGCAAGACTCCATCTCCAAAAAAAAAAATATATATATATATATGTATCTTTATGGTTCCACAGCTGAGGTTTTAAGACTTGAGCTCATCAGACTCCTGCATATATCCTTAGAAAAAACATTGTCCTATAAAGCTATAATACGAGCCACATGTTTTATTTAACTCAACGTATAGAAAAATATTACCCTCTTGGCATGTATTCAATATAAAAATTTTGAGATGATTTACATGGTTCCAGATTTTCAATAATTCAGTAATTTTTCACTTATAGCAAGTGTCATTTCAGACTAGTTACATTCCAAGTACTTAGTAACCATATATGGCTAGTAGCTGTCTTACTAGCCTTTGAGTCCCACAAAGTGTACACATTCTCTGTGTTTACGCACATCTTTTGAAATGTCATGAGAGAGAGAGCAAGATAGGATCCAGATTTTCTTTAAATCAGTTTGCTCTCTCTTAAGGATTCCTAATTGGTTGTTTCTTTGTTGCTTCCTATAGGGATGTATCAGAAGCTTCATCACATGATTATTATGTTAACTGCCTGAAGTATTTATGGTAGCAATAAATTGAGCTGTAATTTTAATTTGTCAAGTAAATTCTCTGATGTGATACTAAGTATTTCACATACATATTAGGAAGTGAAGGAAATTTAGTAATGAATGGTATGTAATAGTTTGTGGGGTTTTTTTGTTTTTTTTTGTTTTTTTTCTCTTTTTGTCTTCTTAGATTGCAGCAAAAATTGGAGGTGATGCTGGGACATCACTGAATTCAAATGACTATGGTTATGGGGGACAAAAAAGACCCTTAGAAGATGGAGGTAAGTTGTACTCATAAGCATTTTAAATTGTTTTTCAGAGTGTTTAGCTTGAAGTGATTCTCAGTATTTTTCTATTATTTTATTGAGACATTACTTTTATTATAAAAGTAATAAAATTGTAAGGTGTATATTGGCCTAAAAGGGGTTGGGGGTTGGGGAGAGACCTAGACAAGGTAGGTAAAATTTGAGTCAACCAGGAAGTTTTGTCTTATTAGAAAACAGTTTATTTTCCCTCTTTTAGTATTGTGCCAGATTGAAAATTTGCACAGACGTAAAAAAAAAAAAAAACAAGAATATATATTACTTAGAAGGCATTTCACTGGTTTTTCTCATACATGAATGGATTTTAATATGCTGTGCTTTCGTCATTTTCCTATTTCCAATTTCACTTTAAAGGTTGAAATTGCTATAGTTTGCTACCCTAGGGTGTTACAGGTTATAACTTTTTTTTTTTTAATGTTCTTTGTTTTTAGTACGTTTGTGTTTCAGGTTTAGCTTTAAACCTGTGGATTAAACAGTGGATTTACAGTGCTTTGTATTTTAAAAAATCGTAATTGTTGAAGCTCCTGAACTTAGAAGTCTGCATGTATTTTTTGTTTTAGGTTTGATGTATGAGTTTTGATACATTTTCTTTTTACCCCTTTTTTTAAAGGGAGGATTCTCACTGTGGCTGTAGAATGTATTTGTAGCTTTTGACCAGAGAACTTGATTTCCTTTTATTTAAGTGTCTTTCATATTTATAGTGAGGTTTTTAATATACAAAAAAAAAAAAAATGAGCTAATGATGCTTCAGATGTTGTATGTAATGTATTCTTTTTATTTTATGTGTAGATGGCTCTTGGACAAGTCCGAGCAGTACAACACACTGGGAGGGAATGCCCTCTCCTTTTAAAGGCAGGAATTTTTATTTATTACATGTGTTCAGTATGTAAACGTGGAATAAACCAGTGGATTCTTAAATGGACACAAATATTTCTTGGATTATGTGTCTGAATTTTTGCTGCACAACATTCTGATGTTTAATCATTTAAGTTTGAAGGGGGGAGGAGAATGTAGTACTTTGAGCTATAGGTTGTCAGTTCCAAGGTATGCATTGTATTCATCTGTATAATGGATTTATATGAAGGTAGTACTGTAGTTGCTTTGAGGTTTTTTTCCTAAAGTTTTATACAGTGAAATGTTTGTTTATAAAAGAACAGTTTAGGTTGAAATTGCCTTGTAATGTTGTGGGGGTTTTTTTTGTTGTTGTTTTTTGGGGGGCATAGCTTTGTGGTCACCATCAGATACACTCAACTTTTAATATGTCAGATTTTCTTAGTTTGATAGGTTCCCCCCCCGCCCCCAGTCTTCAGTTCCTGAGGTGGAAGCATCATTAGCCTTTAGCATGTGATATTTCGCCAGTAATGGACCTAAAGTACTTTGTCTTGTATCATTCTGATATGCTTAACGTACATTAATGTCAGTGGTTTGTTAAAATCAGATAACTAGTTTAATGTCTGTGCATCTTTTGAACGTGAAGAGAATGAATATAGTTTCGTTTTTAGATTCTGAGTTTGAGTTGAAATTTGGCAGTTTTGGTTTAAATGATAAACCATACCTTTGGATATTTCAATAAATGTTTATATTGTTATTTATTCTTGTTTGGGAGGGGAGAAGCTTTGTACTTAATTCGCAACAAATTAAAAGACACTTAATTTTCCAGATCAACCAGATGCTAAGAAAGTTGCTCCTCAAAATGACTGTAAGTATTCGTTTTAAACTGGGTTAAAAGTTAACTGAATTTTAATATGAAGATTTTGTTCATATTATTGGATATCTTTGAAGTTAGTTGGTTTATGAGCCTTTTGCATCACCTAGCATGAATTTATATACCTTTTTCTTCTGTTTTACAATTTGTCCCATTAACTGTGTCCAGGTATATATAAAGATTGGTTGCTGAATTATTTTATGTATTTAACAACTTCAATTCTTGATCTATGCTTGTACAAATTGAAAAAGGAAATTGTTCTGTGCCATTGCTAATATAATGTCTAACCTTTCATTGACTTTCTTGCCACTGTCAATGCTGATATAAGTACTCTGTATAAAATTTGACTTTCTTCAAGGTGTTGTCTGTACATTAGTTAAAGGTTTTTGAATGATGTGATTGTGTTGTTAATTAAATATATAAGTAAACTTCAATTTTGAATTTTCATTTTATTTTTATTTAATTTTTTGATAGCTTTTGGAACACAGTTACCACCAATGCATCAGCAGCAAAGGTAGAGTCACAAGTTTTTCAAAAAGTATTCTGCAAGTTTTGGTTGAGCTGTTTGTAAAAACACAACCATATTGGTGTATATTGAATATGTGTCTGTATTTTTTGGTATACATAGTTAATGTCACCCCCCCATGGGGAGGTGCCATAGAGTGATTATTTTTCTTTTGAGTGAGATAAATTTGTGGTTTGGAAAGATAGGTGGAATTAGCCACATTTTAGAACAAGGGTGAGTTAGAGTAACTGTTAAGATGACATTGCCCAAACTCGTCCAGCTCTTTATACAGTTCATGCCTTCAGACTGTTGCATTCATCATCCCTTCTTCACTTGATGCATCATCTTAAAATTCTTAATTTAATGGCTCAAGTAATAAGGCCGTATGTTTTGACGTAAGTCTGAGCCTAGAATCTTAGTTTAAGCCATTGGGAGACATTGGACTTCCGTTTTTATTAATAGGTTACCTTTTATTTGTAAACAAATTATCTTTCACTGAAGGAAAATGGTACTTTCTGTTACTTCTTAGCAGGTCTGTAATGACAGAAGAATACAAAGTTCCAGATGGAATGGTTGGATTTAGTAAGTAACTTAATTTTTAAAGTTTTGAAAACATGATCAAAACATATTTTAGAATCTTTCAACCAAAAAAAATTTTTTTTTTTGTCTAGTAATTGGCAGAGGAGGTGAACAGATCTCACGAATACAACAGGAATCTGGATGCAAAATACAGATAGCTCCTGGTAATGTTATGTTCTCTTGATATTTTCAAAGTGACTGGAAAACTAGCATTCTTTTTTTGGTTTCTAGTAATAATAATGCTACCTTTAATTTTTGACCTAAAGTGTTTTTTGTTTGTTTTTAATTGTAGATAGTGGTGGCCTTCCAGAAAGGTCCTGTATGCTAACTGGAACACCTGAATCTGTCCAGTAAGTTTGAAAGACTTAAAAGTCAAATTAACAACAGGAGAACTCTTTGAATTTTGCCTCTGCTCTTCATTACTGCTTTATTTTACACTATTGTCTCCTTGCTGCCTCCCCTCAAAGTTTTGAGGTTTATACCTCATGTCTTTCTCAATTAGGGTTCATTATCTGAGTCATTAAACACACAAAATAGTGAAAACAACTTCATATCTATTCCAGTCTCTACTTGAGCAAAGCCAGGTGTAACCTAGAGAAGAATGCACAGTCATGTTGACTGGTGACACCTAAAACTCATAGACATTAAACTCAAATGGACTATTGCATTGCCTGTGGCCCATTTCATTGACCAAACTTTGAAGGCCTAGTTCATTCACTTTTCCACTCCTCTCCAAGGCTCTTTAATCCTACATCTCCCCACCTCCAAATCTTCAGCATCTAACCCCACCTCTTTCTGACTTAAGCTTATTTACTGAGAAAAACAGAAGCAAATCATAGCCAGGCATGGTGGCTCATGCCTGTAATCCTAGCACTTTGGGAGGCTGAGGCACGTGGATCACCTAAGGTCAGGAGTTTAAGACCAGTCTGGCCAACACAGTGAAACACTGTCTCTACTAAAAAAAGGTGTGGTGGCATGCACCCCAGCTACTCAGAAGGCTGAGGCAGGACGATAGCTTGAACCTGGGAGGCAGAGTTTTCGGTGAGTGGAGATAGTGCCACTGCACTCCAGCCTGGGCAATGAAATAAGACTCCATCTCAAAAAAAAAAAAAAAAAAAGGCAGATCATAAGAAGCTTTTGTTTTTCCCTACCACTAAAACTACCAGCCTTCATTTTTTTCTCTGTTTACATAGTACTCAGATAATTGCTTTTGTTTGTGTTCATGTGCCTAAAGCCAGCGCTTTCTTATTACTGGAAGTCAGTGTGCCTGCAGTTGAACTTTCTTCTGCATTATTAGTTCCCCTCCTTTACGAGAGAGAGAGAGAGAGTATGTGTGTGTGTGTGCGTGCACGTGTGCGGCGCGCGTGCATGCGTGCGGCGCGCGTGCGCTGAGACGGAGTCTCACTCTGTTGCCCAGGCGCTGGAGAGCAATGACACGATATTGGCTCACTGTAGCCTGTGCTTCCTGGGTTCAAGTAATTCTCCTGCCTCCACCTCCCAAGTACCTGAGACTACAGGCACATACCACATTTGGTTTTTTTGTTTGTTTGGTTGGTTTTTTTGTTTGTTTTTTAGTAGAGATGGGGTTTCACCATGTTGGCCAAGATGGTCTCTATCTCTTGACCTCATGATTCACCCACCTTGGCCTACTAAAGTGCTGGCATTACAGACATGAGCCACCATACCTGGCCTGATTTTCTTATTAGCACTTACCAAATAATGTGTGCTATTCATTTGACATGTTATTTTTACCTTTTTTTTTTTTAATTTTCAGCAAGTAGCCCCTATATATTTTTACTTTTTAATGAAATGAAGCTACTCTCTAGCAGGAACTGTGTTGTTTTTTTTAATCAGTGCTATTACTCCATTACCTAGAATGGCACCTGGCACGTAGCTGATACCTAAATATTTGTTGAATGAATAATTGTAGCATATGAGTAAGCAAAATGGTAGTTTAAAAATGTAAGTAAATCATTTAGTTCTTGGAGGAATCAGTTTAATTCTGAGATAACTTTAGCATTAGAATGTTCTTTCTTGGAAATTTTCGACTGCTCTTAAAAATAAAAATTGTATATCTAGAAAATTTTTCAGTTAAAAGTAAAAGCGTTGTTGGCTTGGCACAGTGGCTCACACCTGTAACCCTAACACTTTGGGAGGCTAAGGTGGGTGGATCACAAGATAAGGAGTTCAAGACCAGCCTGGCCAAGATGGTGAAACCCCATCTCTACTGAAATACAAAAATTAGCTGGGCATGGTACCACGCATTTGTAGTCCCAGCTACTTGGGAGGCTGAGGCAGGAGAATCACTCGAACCCAGGAGGTGGAGGTTGCAGTGAGCCAAGATTGTGCCACTGCACTCCAGCCTGGGTGACCGAGTGAGACTCCATCTCAAAAAAAATTTTAAAAGTAAAAGCATTGTTAAAGTTAGCATTAAGGCACCTGATCCAGAATTGGTGTAGGAGTACTTGGTTATGTTGTTTTATATTTCTCTATTTGAATGAGCTTAGATATGCTACAACTTACTATTCAAATATGTTAACAGGTCAGCAAAACGGTTACTGGATCAGATTGTTGAAAAAGGAAGACCAGCTCCTGGCTTCCATCATGGTGATGGACCGGGAAATGCAGTTCAAGAAATCATGATTCCAGCTAGCAAGGCAGGATTAGTCATTGGAAAGGGGGGAGAAACTATTAAACAGCTTCAGGTATGGTTATGTTTGTAAAGTGGTTATTTTTGGTCTGTTTTGATGACCATTTTCTTCCACTCTCTTTTGTTAATATATATTATTTCTATGATTATAACAGGAACGGGCTGGAGTTAAAATGGTTATGATCCAAGACGGGCCTCAGAACACTGGTGCTGACAAACCTCTTAGAATTACAGGAGACCCATATAAAGTTCAAGTAAACTTAACTTTATATTTTATAAAGAAGGAGTTGGGTTGAATGGGGTTGGGCAAAATATGCATGTATAATTAAAATGTTTTGAGACACTCTTTCTAAATTAGTTAACTTTTTCTACTTTAGCAAGCCAAGGAAATGGTGTTAGAGTTAATTCGTGATCAAGGTGGTTTCAGAGAAGTTCGGAATGAGTATGGGTCAAGAATAGGAGGAAATGAAGGGATAGACGTAAGTAAAAATACCCATTCAGAAATGGTTGTATGCTAATTCATAAATATACATAAATATAATAGTGCTTTCTATTTTGTGTTAAGTGGCTTTCTCTAACATTGTATCCTTTTATTTCTCCTTTGTACTTGAGAATACAGAATTCTATATTTTATTTCTTATTACCCTATTTGCTATAAATATAGCATTGTATGTACTTCTATGATTTGAGGCAGATTTTCTGGAAATGGCTTTTTTTTTTTTTTTTTTTTTTTTTTTTTTTTTT